TTCCGGATAGATGTATGATTGATCGAGACACTTTCGCATGATGGAGTGAATATAAATAGCTGCAGTAATTTTGAATCGTGCTATAATTATGCTTTGTGAATTCAGCCGGTGGGTCGTAATAAATCATATGTCCAAAATGATTACATGTATGGCAACAATTCTTTTCTTCAGTCTTGCTATGTATTTAGTACCAAAATCGCTTGGACGATCGATGTTTTCATTAAATTTCTTATAAAATGCACAGAATCAGAGCATCGCAGGGTAAAACTCCATGTTCACATATAGTGTATATATAGTTCCATGCTCTTGCTGTTGCATCTTCTTCTGACCGAGCGTCGAACCCTTGGACTTTAAAGTTAAACTTGCTGAATTTTTACTCGCGGTGTATAAAGCTTCCGGCTGAAGTTGCAACATTTTCGGTCGGCTGTGCCTGCGAAGTCAGTTTACGGTAGAAGCCTAATTCGGTGTGCTCACTTAGCGACTATCTTGCAGCTCATTTATCATTATTCACACTGTATCGCCGATATACCTATAGCTGGCATGATGAATGCCGATTCTAGCAACGGATTATTGACATTGATTGCCCAGTTGCTTTGGTTATGCCACTCGGAATTGTGATCTTCCATTGCGAACCACGGGAACTGATTGGATTCATCAAATATATGCATCTGCTATAATGGACGAATAATTAAGAAACCATGTGATATGATTTGCTCAAACTTAAAATTCCCTAAGAATGTAAATTTCGAGTTTCCTAACTTGTTCACAAGGCGATTTTAATTAAAACCGACAATATGTTGACTGACTAATGTTGGTTTCTAACTGGCGGTGCTAAATTTCTGAAGATATAAATTTACCTTAATGAGCTTTAAGCATGTGTATGCTTTTACATGTGTATTTTTTGTTGCATTATGTTGTTTGTATAAGCTTGCTATAACAGACGATTGGTCCGTTTCGTGTTTTGGACTCGGTGCTGAAGGCTTTCTTTGATTCAGTCAAACCTAATTCAGTTTACTTTAGCAAACCAGCAGTGAAACACTGATGTAGCTGTGTAGCGAGTTTAATTAGAGAACGCAAAGCCACAAATCTATCGTAACTGAACGCCTCGGAGAAAAGTGATTTATGACCTGACTCTGCAATTAAATCACTGGTGCTTCAGTGTTAAATTGCGATGAGCTGTACTAACAGCGTATGTTGGTAAACTTGTTAGTGAATACTGGTTAGCAAACTATGCAAAATTTGTACAAGAGTTCTAGCTTGGAGCACTCTCAAGATTCAACTGCATTCGACATTAGAGAAAACGGCAATGGTATTACGGCAGCAGCTTATGAGCTCAGTTATGGGTTTATGGCAAATATTAAGTTAGAATATCATGTATACATTTTCGTCCAGCTCTAATTTAGTGCCTAGGCAGAAGGTGAACAACGGGCAACCCATTGTGCAGCAGATACAAGACTATTGAAGAATCAAATAAGATAAATTTAGAGACTTAGAAGTTTGTAATACAAACAATGTGTTCAATCGGCGGAAGTACTGAACGGCTTGACAGGCGAACGAACCGTTTGGAGACTGATGATAATCTACACATGATGGGATTTGTGACACGTATATGATACAAATGTTCTTTTCAAATGATCAGCTTTAATTTAAGAAGTCTGCAGACCACGAGCAGGTGAAAAGTTCTGGAGAAGCATCCAGTAGTCGCGTAAGTCATTAAGAATAACATAGGAAAGATATGTTCATCAGAATCCGTCTTGAGAGTCGAAGGTTTCTGATGGGGAATGCGGGCATCCACATCAACGTCCAGTTTTAAGCATGAAGTTTCGTGCATTTATAGCCCCGTGGATAAGGCTGCCAAGGATTTTATGAAATATTGAGAACGAATCTTGAAATGGTTGAGGAGGACTTCTGTTGCTGGCAAAGTGAATTTGAAGCGCGCGTTATTTAGCTATAGTCCAGCTTGGAATCATAAAGTTTTTAAACCAAACACACACCCACTGAGTTGTGAAAAATAGTTCTAAGAATGTAACTAGATGCCATTTTGGAAGAATCTAATTTGCCAGCATTCTACGAGCCGTAGAATGGAGAAGTGGACAAGTTGTGGGCCACACTAAATATATGGATTAAGCATAAGAGTTAAACCGTCCATCAATGTGACTCATACACAAGACTTGGTAGAATATCAGGAACGCATTCCTTCATCTGAATAATTATTTCAGGCTTGTTTGACATTAGTACGCTGTTATTTCTGCATAATCATCAAGTTGATACAGCAAAAGCAGTACAGTGGTTACCTATTATGCATGAAATATATATCATAAATTTGATTGCATACTAATGCGACCATACTTGTAGGCATTCAAGAAACGCTTCGATGCGGGGATGATGCCACTGCTGCTCGCAAACAACATATTCAGTCTTTGGATGAGAACGGGCAACTTCAATCAACAGTGCTGTTCAGTTTGTCCATCTAGCACAGCTTCAAGCAGGTTTATGGCCTGTACCAGTACTGGTGTAGCAACAAACTGGGTGGATGATCGGGCAATGGTACGTTGGAGATTAAACTGAATTTATTCTGTGCTTCACCTTATCAGCGTTGTTTTCAGGCTCTGCCACACCAGAAGCTATGACTTATCGGTAGAGGTTGCGGACTAGTGCTTAAAAGAAATCCGTTTACTGTGGTATAATTGCAATACAGTCATCCCGTCGCTACGTAATTATAATAATCATAGGCCATAGTTAGCCCAGAAAAGTGTCGAATCTCAGAACTGAAGTGCATGAACGGAATGGCATACGTTGATTTGACAGCTTCCGTGGATAACACTGGTTGTTAAATCACGTTCCGCTTAATTGCAACTCCAGCAGGTGCCGTATTCTAAGTAATTGATGCATTCGCTTAGAAAGGCGGAGCACGGGATACTGCTAGGGAACTAGATGGAATTGCTACAAATCTTCCAGCGACTTGTGTGCTTCAAAACAGTTGATGAAGCAAAAACTTTGCCTACGCTGAGGCATTTTATCAGTTGTTAATACAATCATGAAATCATATTTGCAGGTAAAAGCAGAAGCGAGTCTACAACTGCCGTGGAGGCCATTCCCGACCACCTTTCCATCCACTTGGAGCGCAGAGGAAACTGGTCCTCAGCTTTGTGGACGTTTCAGATTCGATGTCATCACACCAACAATTTCGGTGAGGAGATGATCCGAACATTCAAGGGATTAATCAACACATTTGGAAGCACATGATCATGACCACCTTAGGATTAAATACTTCGACAGCGTCACTCGTACGATGTCAGTCATCTGGTGGACCTCATCTGCGAAAGGCTGGAACCATATTTGCAACGGCGTCTGTTATAGTTAAATGCTGAGAATTTTATTTTAGCGGCTGTAAAGGCTCTCGAAGAATATCTCGTGCATTACCTGTAAGAATCATG